TCCCCCCCCACTACTTACACATTTTGATAAACTGAGTTAGGAACATTGATCACCTCTAATAGACAGTTGTGTTTATAATAAAGACTGAAAGTTAAGCATTTTGAATAAAAGGTCCTTCAACAAAATAATAGATTGAAAGGATATTAAGACTAATAATAAGCCTTCTACTTAAAAAACACTGCACTTATATAATTATTTTGTGTGCATAATTGCAACAGAAGCATTGTTAGAAACTGAAACATGAAGACTTATCTGAAAATTGTCTAGAAGATATGTTCCATGCATCATGACAACACTTTTCGTAAAAAGACCCGAAACATTTCATTAATCTTTTGCAGTATTTCATAAATTGGAATTATAGCAATGCTAAAATCTACATGACACGAGTGAATAGGAAACTACTCGTACGCGTTTTGTTACATGTCCAGCTTGTGGAAAATGAAGACAAAATAACATTACGATTTAGGGCAGTGTCGTTTGCTAATGGCAGTCATTCTAATTCTATAAAGTGCTCTACAGGCAGTACATGTAATTTATTGTACTATACAGTACATTGAACATTGCTTGGATAATCACATCCACCAACTTGCCCATTCCAGTACAGGTCTCCACAACTGAACCGGTACGTCTTGCCACCGGCGCAGTGGTAGTAACCGGCACAGTCAGAGGGATCCCCGTAATAACCGTGCTCTCGTCCGTCACACGAGAAGACTTCATTCCGGTCGCACTTGACATTACGAGGCCAGTCACATGAGTTAATGTGGGAATTCCACAAGAGACCATCCTGGCAGGACGTCAGATATGTGAAACCGTTTGCGCATTGGTAGAATTTACTGCAGTCCGCTGGGTCAGCGTAATGACCGTCGGCTCGGTCATCGCAGAACAGGGGGGTGTCTGGGGCGTTGCAATGGACGTTTTCGGGATTGTTGCAAGTATACGTTTGGGGGTCGAAGTACAAGCCTGTACCACACGGAAGATAGCTTGCAACTCCTTGGTTGCAGATGTAGTACATCCTACAACTGTTGGGATCTGCGTAATATCCATTGGGCTTATCCCGACACGTGAAGGTACCGGCATCTGGTGAGTGGGTTGGTGAGGATGCGTTAGTGGCTGGGGCGTCTGTGGACAGTGCGTTGGTGGCCAGTGCATCGGTGATTCTTGCGTCAGTGGCCGGTACATTGGTGGCCGGTGCGTTGGTGGCAGGGGTGTTGGTAGCTGGCGCGTCCGTGGCTGGTGAGTCAGTGACCAGCTCATCGGTGGCTGGTGAAGAGGTGGCATCTGTTTGCAGGTTCGAAGCAAATTAAGTAAAATACACAACTGAAGGACACTAATCAAGAAAAGTAGGATAAAAAGAAATAAATCTACAAAACCAGTCTAATCGGCACATGTGATTACATTTGGCACATAAAACTTTTACACAATTTTACTGTTTGGACTGATTTAACGAAGATTTTTAGTCAATTTGTATTCTGCCTAGCATATACATTAGGCAGATTGGCACTACTGCACCAGAAAGAACACAGACGGTAGCATGTATGTAATGGACCTCCCCTTGAATATTGCAAACCAGTTCTGTCTACATGTACTCTGCAGGGATGTACATGTATGTAGACCTACCAAAAGCAAGCCTACGGTTGATGGCTTTCATCAGCGGCCAAGTCTCGCCGCAGTCCCCGTTGAAATCGTCTAAATCAATGGCCCACACCATGGCGCCACCCAAGCCTTTCTCCTTCAAAAAGTCAACCTTTGAAAAAAAAGAAAAAAGGTCTGTATTCAACAACCATAATAACATAATCATAATAATTTTAATAGGCCTACTTCTGCATGCAAAGGGTGCCCTCCTCAGTCACACTATTATTAGACTGGTACATACATGTACATTCACGTGTGTTTGTACCTACTTTGACACGTATGCTCCTTTTATCGTCATAACCAACCCATTGGTTACCATGGAAAGCATAAGGAACCCGGCGCCTCTCATCCCATACCCGTGTCAGCTGGCCATCTTGGAGTTTGTTGCAAATCTGGGACAGGTTTTAAAAATAAAATCACAAACAATGATTAGATTTTTTTTAGTGAACCATCATTGTTTCTACATTCATTGCCAAATGGAGCACTTTGTTAAATTAGACTTAGCAAATTTTGGTTTTGTGTGTGTATGGGGGTGTTCGTTTTTTTTTTTTTTTTAGGGTGTTTTGGTGCTTGCTTTTCCCATTGTGTTTTTTTTTCCGGGGGAGGGTGGTGGGGGTGTTTGTTTGTTCAGGTGTTTGTTGGGGTGTTTGTTGGGTTGTTTGTTGGGTTGTTTGTTTGTTTGTTTGTTGGGTTGTTTGTTGGGGTGTTGGGGTGTTTGTTTGTTTGTTGGGTTGTTGGGGTGTTTGTTGGGTAGTTTGTTTGTTTGTTTGTTTATTTATTTGTTTGTTTTTCATTACCTCATAATAAGATAGGAAGCCATCTTCTCGTGTTGAAGCTCCTGGAGTACCCGGTCCGCTAACGGGAGCGCCAATGCCCGTCTGCTGCCCCCTCAATGTGAACGAGCGGCCGTAAAGACCCATACCCAGAACAAGCTTGGAGGGCGGTGTTCCTCCCTCTAGCCAAATATCAACAGCATTGGACTGGTGAGAAAAGAAAAGATTGAAATTAACTGAGACTGAGCCTTACACCCTTACCAAATGCAGCTTTGAAACAGGGTATCTCTGCTGAAGGGCAGATTATTCTTTCCTGAATGTGACAGGGTGTGTCGGGAGAGATGGACAGATAATTTGTGACACGATTCAGGGAGTGTAACCTCGTCAGTTCCCTCTCACCGTATGACGCTTTATCTAGTGGAGGATCCTCCCAGTAGAGATTTTTCAGTCAAGTGATTTTTGATTGTCAGCGTTCAGTATACTCAGATGTACATGGAAAGATGTGCAATCAGGATTCTGGGGTGCATGCAATAAAGCCTGGAAGTAAAGGTCATGCAGCGAGCTTCTGGAATACTCGCGCGGTCCGCCTGTGGGGTTTTTACATTCGGCCGTCCAATCACGTTCGATAATTTTTGGAAAAATAATTCCTAACTGAAACCACGCCATGAAACACTCATGTTGGAATTTTACCTTTGTCTTCCTCAACTAATATTTAGTGAAAGTCACCTGGAGATGGGTAAAAAAATGAATTCCATCAACGACCTTCATTCCAGCGATATTGTACCTGGGTCTCCTTGCACATTTGCTTTCACTCCCATTACACACGTGAAAACGAGATTGTAAAACGCTGAAAAGATTTACCTAACTGCAGTCGATGGGTTCCAGATTCCGTTGATTTAACGTAAGGCAGTTGTTGTCCGCAAAGGTTAAATAAATAGTAAAATCTTTCGTAAAAATAGATTGTTGCTTTGAGTTTATTACCTTATAAATTAAAAAAGGCTGTAAAATATTTTGGTGTTTCTATTTCGGCTTTTACCGACAGACTTCCATAAAATTTCAAACCGTAAATGTTAATCTGCGTACGAGATCGCCGCATTGGACTGTTCTTCATAGTAGATTTTCGGTGCGATGGGTAAATTTTTGGCAGGATATTTCTCTTTTATGCGAGTTAATTTTTCAGTTTCTAAAAAGTGATATACTAGCAAATATTTTCCAAAGCCTTTTTTCCAAGTTGGATTTTGTAAGAAGTAACTAAAAAAACGAAAGAAATATTACAAATTCTAAAATCTTTGCACGTTATTTTTCCTATCCGAGGGTTCAGAAAGCGCGCCATGAGGGGTCAACTTTCAGGCTCTATTGCCAAAAGAAAGACGTAGATTCGGAAATGCGTACGCCGCCGCGGATGTGGAACGATCGCTGACCTGATGTCTTTGCCCATCAACTGACATCACGTGAAAAACCTATGTACACTGTATTATTAAACGTCCACTGTTAAAAACTCTAATCGAAGCATTTTTGGCCACAAAAACAGTTGACATAACAGAAAATTCTATCTCCCTTTTGAGTGTACTAATTTTTTAGCACATTATTAATGATAAAGTCAAAGTAAAATCATTACATTGACAATGGACTGGTAGCTAAAATTGATTGGCTAAGCAACTTGTTCAAGACGTACCACGGTGAGGAGCAGGTTGTTCCCGACNATCTGAATCACCTGGGTACAAGGCTGTGTGGTGACCAGTAGTGGTTTCCCAGGAGCCGTGCAAGTCGTAGGCCATCAAGTTGATGAAATCGAAAGAACTGGGTAGGGTCAATTTAATAGCAAAACATGCGAGAACAAGTTAGAGCACCTGAAGGACCTTCTTTTGCACGAGGAACAAGACACGAATGAATACGAAACAAGAGAATGTGCAGACGGAAAAAGGTGATCAGATAAAAAACAACAATGCGATTACAGATCAGAGCGTACAAGTTTCATTAAAGAAACAATCTACATTTTGGGTAAGGTACCCCCTCCCCGCTTTTTCAACGTCTGGTAACACTTTTACTGCTCACCGTGCATCCCCATAACGTCGACACGAACCCATACGCGTCTATCAAACTTAAAGGCCCTGACTATACCTTCAACCTTCTTTAAGTAAAATTTTCTAAGTAGAAAATAACTTGGGGAAAGCTCACCTTGAAATAGCGGAAATTTCATAGCCGTTTGCGATGTACGAGGGACCGGCCGCACAAGCCGATGAGAGCAGGAGGCGTTCTCTCCCCGTCTGCGCTGCCTCCTCTTCAAACGCTGCGCGGAGTTCCTGTTTCGGTGAAAAATATAACAAAAGTACAAGTGATTACAAACTTTGTGTTTTGTCGTCTTCAGAAGTTAAGCAGATGTGAAATAAATGCTGAAATAAAGGCAAAAACTTGGAACGCTGCATCAAAATGTTTGGAAATATGTATTGCTTTAGCTCTGAGGGCCACGAACCTGAACAAGTAGCGTAAATCGTTGCTTGTCGATAGCCGGACTACCTCTGTTGATCGCCCCGGGAAACTCCCAATCCAGATCTAGTCCGTCGAAGTTCCTCTGCCGGAGAAACTGAATGGCATCTTGAATGAACACCTGCCGTCGTTCGGCCGTCTCGGCCATGTAGGTGAAATGTGCTACCCCGTGGGACCAACCGCCCACCGCCAGCAGCGTTTTCAGCGCCGGGTTGGTCTGCTTCAGGTTGTTCACGGCTTCGTAGTTGCCGACCATGTAGTCCGTGGACTCGTCGTTCCATTCGTACGGCTCTAGACGGTTGGTGCGGGAGTCGCTGAGTTTGGCGAAGGCGAAAATGATGTGGGTGCAGAGACTGGGGTCCATGTTGGCGGCGACAAACCGAGCCGACCCTGGCCGGTACTGTGCCCAGTTGGTGAAGTAACACACCACACGATAGTCATGATTTTCTGGGGGAAAAGTAAGAGTTATACTTGATTTTTTTCAAATACAGAACTAGTAGAATCTGGGAATCTGCTTTGATTTTATTCTCAACTTTTTAAACCATTCACTTTACCTCAAACAGGCTAGTTTTTTTTTCTTGCTAAAGCATCCCACTCGCAAAAAGTGAAGTTGAAGCGACTTAACACATCGTGAATTGACCTCATAGGAGTCAGTCAGGAATTATTGGTCATTCTTACCTGTGTTCACATTCCTTAATGGTGGCATTGCGTCCACACACAAAGCCAGCAGGACAGCTGACAAGCAAAGCTGCATCATTCTAGACATCTTCTGGTAGTACCGGGTGAGAAACAGACTAGATCGCAACAAAAAACTGTTTATTAGCCCAAAGAAAGATCCAAACTTCTCAAAATAAACTTGCCAATTTCGCACACACTTTATAGTGACGCGTTTTGTTGTAAAGTAAACAGACTCCGAAGACAAAGTTGCATTGAGGCTGAACGAAGTTCCCACTCGTATTTATAGGGACTCGTGTCGTTGATTTCCACAACAGCCTATTGTTGCAATTGACTTCGTGCGTCATTTTTCCAGGAAATGATGTGATGATAATGTCTCATCAGTATTTATTTAGGATTTTCATCCTCCGCTGACGTCACACCATTGATCACTGTGCGCTCTTTCAGTGAAGCAATCGACCGTTCCTCTCGAGCCCTTTGTTGTTTGGATTTGGGATCACAATCAGTGATGTCTGTTGACTGAGTAGCCCGTATGAGGTTGCTACAGCTCAGTGGTGTAGCTAGGATTTTACTGGGGGGGGGCACGCAGGGGCACCAGCATCTTATGGGGGAGGCACCAGCTTTCAGTCGTGTGGGTGTTTGGGGGGGGCAAGTTTTTGTTAGCCTTGTTCAATATCTATTCCCCCCTTTTTTCAGTGGCGCGGTACCGGGAATTTTTTTTGGGGGGGGGACGTGCACGTGCCCCCCCCCCGTGGATACGCCACTGCTAGGGTTCGTTTTCTGGGAGACCTCTAAAGATGTCTGCCATCGGTCTTGGTGCAATATAGGAGCTGTCCATGTTTTTCTCTTTTCTTCAGAAGAATCAAGTGATAACTAAATAATTTATACGTTAAAGGTAGAGCATTTTTTAACTAAAACACCTCTGTATGGGGCAAGGACCAGATCGAAGGAGTTCAGGTTGTGCCCATCTACAAATATTGACGATACCTCTTTTCTAAGCCCTGAATAAGGGTTCTGAAAGCAATATGTCACAGGTTTACCTCAAGTATTGTCTGAGGGTCTATGCCGGTTCGATAAAAAGTCGGAAATTTGCTCACAAGGAAGAAAAATCACGCAGATAGCAGGAGTTCAGTTGGTCCTCATTCTGGGCACAAGTATTGTTATTTGCACACCTTATGTGATTCATATACAAAGATATCAAGCAAAACGGTTACACAATTCATGTCAACTTTCAATGCGTAATACTCCAGTGAAAAGAGATAAGAAGAACGGGCAAATTTGAACCAGCACACACAAAAGAAACGGCTCCAAAAAAGAGTCACAACTGAGAAAAAAAAAAAGTGAACAAAGGGATCTGCAACAACT